TTTTCTTTTCTTTTCTTTTCTTTTCTTTCTTTTTTTGAGACAGAGTCTTGCTGTGTCACCAGGCTAGAGTGTGGTGGCAACATCTCGGCTCACTGCAACCTCTGCCTCCTGGGTTCAAGCGATTCTCCTGCCTCAGCTTCCCAAATAGCTGGGATTACAGGCACGCGCCACCACACCTGGCTAATTTTTGTATTTTTAGTAGAGACGGAGTTTCACCATGTTGGCCAGGATGGTCTGGATCTGCTCACCTCGTGATCCGCCTACCTCCGCCTCCCAAAGTGCTGGGGTTATAGGCATGAGCCACCGTGCCTGGCCTCTTTTGCTTATTTTTTATGTAGTCATTCTTATCCCATGGTTTATTTTTAAGCATATAACCAGTGAGCTCTAACAAATATACAGTCAAATAACCACCGTCACAGTCAATATGTAGGACATTTCCAGCACCCAAAAGGTTTTCCTTGCCCCGTTGTGATCAATGCCCTTCTCTCCATCCCCAGGTCCTGGCAACCACTTAATGTTTTTGGACCCTATAATGTTACCATTTCTAGAATGTGGCATTAGTAACATTAATATTTAGTAGGTACTCTGTTCTGGTTGTGTCCTTTCTCTAGGATAATGTTTTTGCGATTCATCCATGTTGTTTATATATAAGTAATTTACTCCTTTTTATTGCTGAGTATTAGTCTGTTGTAATATGTACTGCCATGCTGTTTTTTTTTCATTCACCATTTGGTGATGTATCTAGTTTTAGGCTATTATGAATGAAGCTGCCATGTATAATCCTTGGCATAGATTTTAGTTCTCTTGGGTAAAATATGTATGAGTAGGATTGCTTGGTTCTATGAAAAGTATATATTTAACATTATAAGAAATTTCCAAACTGTTTTCTAAAGTGACTATACAGTTTTTCATTCCCTCTAGCAATGTGTGAGGGCTCCATTTGCTCTACATCCTTGCCAGTGCTTGGAATTATAAGTGTTTCTAATTTTAGCCATCTAGTGGGTGTGTAGGAATATCTTAATTTTTCCTTTGATTTATATTTCCTTTTCCCCCATCGAATTATCTTGGCACTTTGTCAAAAATTAATTGAACATATACGTGGGGTTCTGTATCTGGAGTCTGTTCTGTCTAATGCCAGTGCCATATTGTTTTGATTACTATGACTTTATTGTAAATCTTGACATTAGATAGTGTGAATCCTCCAGCTTTGTTCTTCTTTTTCAAAATTGTTTTAGGTATTCTGGTCCTTTGCATTTCTATGTAAATGTTTATCAGCTTGTCAATTTCTACCCAGTGGCTATTGGGATTTTGCTTGGTGATGTTTTGAACTTACGGATCAGTTTGGGGAGAATTGACATCTTTTTTTTTTTTTTTGGAGACAGTTTCGCTCTTGCTGCCCAGGCCTGGAGTGCAGTGGTGTGTTATTGGCTCACTGCAACCTCTGCCTCCCAGGTTCAAGTGATTCTCCTGCCTCAGCCTCCCAAGTAGCTGGGATTACAGGCATGGTACCACCATGCCCAGCTAATTTTGTATTTTTAGTAGGGATGATGTTTCTCCCACATTGGTCAGGCTGGTCTCGAACTCCCGACTTCAGGTGATCCGCCCGCCTCAGCCTCCCAAAGTGCTGGGATTACAGGTGTAAGCCTCCCAAAGTGCTGGGATTACAGGTGTGAGCCACTGCACCTGGTCCGACATCTTAATAATAATATCGAGTCCTTCAGCCAGACATGGTGGCTCACGCCTGTAATCCCAGCACTTTGGGAGGCTGAGGTGGGTAGATCACCTGAGGTAGGGAGTTCGAGACCAGCCTGACCAGCATGGTGAAACCCCCATCTCTACTAAAAAAAATACAAAAATTAGCCAGGCGTGGTGGTGGGCACCTGTTAATTCCAGCTACTTGGGAGGCTGAGGCAGGAGGATTGCTTGAACCCAGGAGGCGGAGGTTACAGTGAGCCAAGATCACGCCATTGCACTCCAGCCTGGGCAACAAGAGTGAGACTCCATCTCAAAGATAATAATAATATTGAGTCCTTCAATCCATGAACAGTGTTTAGCTCCATTTATTAAATAGAGATTTATTTAAGTCCTTATTAATACCTCTCAACAATGTTTTGTAATTTTTAGTGTACAGGTCTTGCACATGTTTGATTAAATTTATCTCTAATTCCTGCTTTTAATTTAATTTTTCATTTGTTCTTTACAAGTGTATAGAATAGCAGTTGATTTTTTTTTTCTTTTTTTTAAATTGACTTTGTGTCCTTTGACTTTACTAACCTCACTTGTTAGTGCTGATGTATTTTTTTAGGTTCCTTAAGATTTTCTGCATAGATACTTACATCATGTGGAACTAAAAGGCAGCTTTACTTCGTTCTTTACTATCTGCATGCCTTTCGTTTGTTTTTCTTACTTTATTGCATTGGTTATATCTTCAGTTGAATATGTAACAGAAGTAGCAAGAGTGGGTATCCTTGTTCCTGATCTTAGGGGGAATGTATCAGTCTTACCCTTGGGTATAATGTCAGCCATATGTTTTTCATAGGTGCCCTATATCTGATTGAAGAAGTTTCCTTGAATCTTTAGTTTATTGAGACTTTATGTCATTAATGTTTTAAAATATAAATTGTGTTTGTGGGATTATTTACTTAGGTACATGTACAGGAGCAAGGAGCTTATTCGAAATAAGAGAGAGTGTATTCGAAAGTTGAAGGAGGAAATAAAAATTCTGCAGCAAAAATTGGAAAGGTGAGTTTTGGACACCTTCATGCTTAGAAATGTAAAAGACAGTAGAATATTAAAAACATATACTTTGTTTTTCTTTAAAAATTAACTCAACGTTTAAATATTAATTAGAGTATTTTATAAAATAGCTAAGAAAATTTTGTGTCTAAGTGTAAAGCAGTCTTCAAGATCAGCTAGTATTATTCATAGGGGTAAATAGCAGTCCCAGAGTACTTAAGTGACCCAGAGCCACACAGTTACTGCAGTGTACTGAGGAGAACCTGAGTTCTGATTTTATAGCCTTTTTTCCTACTCCCCTTGCCGTCTTCTTCACAAACATGAGAGAGGCAAGTGTCACAATGGTCCCGTCCACTTTTGGAAAAGCAGTTTCTGAAGTGTCTAAGAAAGATAAAAAACAGTGCTTTTCTACCTAGAGCAGTGCTGATTAAAAGGGCTAATATTTCTGATGCATACAGAGTTCTTTCTCTTTCTGAGAAATTTTCACTTTTTTGATTGTTGATTTTACACTATTTCTGTGGAATGATTTTCTGTAATTTCCTTAGGAGTCAATTTAATTTCTTTCTAGTCTAGATAGATCCCGTTGATTTTGCACTTAAGAAAGAGATCACATACACAGTCAATAGCTTCTCCTCTCTTTATCCACTTAACAGTTTTCTTTCTACGACCACCCCACCTCCACCTACTCCCTTATTAGGCCATTAATTTCCCTGAAGGGCAACACTTTCCATACCAGGCCTAAGATGGACCCTGCACTGTACCCGCACCGCTACCACTGCAGCTTCGGCTCTTAACTCCAGAAGAGCTTATACAAGATATATTGTGACTAGTCATTTGTCTTAATAGAGACTTAAGCTGAAAACCGGTTCCTCAAATACTGTACTGGAAGTGATTTTCAGGACTCTTAAGTCTGGCAGTATTTTACTAAACCTTTAAGTTTTAGTGATACTTTGTAAGGCTGGACATTTTAAATTATTTTTATAGAATCAACCATATCAACTGGATGTGGTATCATGTGCCTATAATCCCAGCTATATGGGAGACTGAGGCAAGAGGATTGCCTGTGCTCAGGAGTTTGAGACCAGCCTGTGCAACTTAGCGAGACTCCATCTCTCTCTCTCTCTCTCTCCCTCTCTTTTTTTCTTTTATTGAGATGGAGTCTTGATTTGTCTCCAAGGTTGGAGTGCAGTGGCACGATCTCAGCTCGCTGCAGCCTCCGCCTCCTGGGTTCAAGTGATTCTCCTGCCTCAGCCTCCTGAGTAGCTAGGATTATAGGCATGTGCCACCATGCCTAGCTAATTTTGTATTTTTAGTAGAGACAAGGTTTCACCATGTTGGCCAGGCTGGTCTTGAATTCCTGACCTCGTGATCCACCTGCCTCGGCCTCCCAAAGTGCTGGGATTACAGGTGTGAGCCACTGCGCCTGGCCCCCATCTCTTCACAACAACATAAGAGACCCCATCTCTTCACAACAACATAAAAGAAACAATGTTTTATAGTTCAAAAGTACCAATTTACCAGGAAACAACAGGGTATTCTGGATTTCAAAATAGAATATAGGAGCATTTTCCTTAGCATGATAATACTTTTGTTTTAAAATAAAATGAGACTTTCGAGTTGTACCTTCATGAGGCCAGAGGGGCCAGGGAACATATTCCCCCACTCCCCCACCCTACCCTCACACCCTTCACCACCCACCGTCCCCATGTCTACCTGACTCCTCAGTCTGGATTTGGCGGAACCTGCTCCCAAAAAGGCATTAGAAGGAACTGCCAAGCACCAGATTTTGTTAAGAAGTGGCAACTTTTGGAACAGAGAGGCTTTCTGAATAAAAAGAACCAGCCTGCTAGCAAGGCGCCCAAGTTACACTCAGAACCTCCAAAGAAAGAGGAAACTCCTAGGGTGGATGGCGCTTGGAAGACCCCTCCATTCCCAGAAAATAAGGCAGCTGCCTCCAGCAGTGGGTCAGAAGAGTTCCTGGACAGGAAAGCTGCAGTGTCTTGGCTGTCCCCTGCCCCTTCAAAGAATGCTGATTCTGTTGCAGCTAAGTAGATTTGCTGGAGGTGCCCTTCTAAACATTAATGGCCACCCAACCCACTCCCAGAAGAAAGGCCCACAGAACAAATCCTCTCAGGTCAGCGCCCCACAGAACTCTACCCACGCTCACTCAAAATAAATGCTTTGGAACATCCTAGAAGTTGCCAAGGAACAATAGTGGCAGATGGCTGTGAGGTGCTGGACACAGGACCCAAGGGGCATGTTACTTTCTTGGTTCCATGTAGCACTGTCAGCTACAGTAGAGATGTGCTTCATGATGAGGACATCCTCCCCGGCCACACTGTGAACTGCCAGACCAGGTGGAGTGGTGTCCAGAAGCAGCACATAGTGAATGCCATGCTCTTTCAAGATTGCTCGTGGCATATCTTGAAGATACAGGGAAGATGGTGGTGGACATGCCATCCATGATGACTTCAAAGTCCTTCAGTACTTTCATCCGTAGTCCCTCACCAGTGACAACTCCCATATTCCCCTTCTCCTCCCCAACTAGAAGGGTGATTGCACGGTGAACGTCACCATGTCTTTGAAGCGTCTCATCAAGAATCTGCTGAATTGGGACATCTGAGTTGGGAAAATAGGCATTCCTCTGTGGAAGACACCCAGGCCACCATGGATCTATACAAATTGGTTGAACTCAAGTGGGAAGAACAACTTGCCCAGAATTCCCCGAAAGACTGGTGGCAGTGGGGATGTTGGTGACGTGGGGAGTCAGAAGCAGTACCAGGAGAAACAGGGAAGTAGACCAATGGACGTCTCAACTAGCTCCACATCTTTGGAAGCTAAAAATGTTGGCAAGAGAGAAGTTCTACTCTAGATTTAATATCCATTGAAATTCCATCACTGGTGTTGTGTCCTGTGTCTGTCTTTTACCTCTTACATGGTGCTATCCCCAGGTCCTAGGGTGCTCTGTGCCAGTGAAGCATTTTGACTTTCAAGGGACAGGGCATACTGGGAAATGTAATTTCCCAAAGTACCTGATCACTAGAGTGGCTGTATGGCTCATTTTGTGCTGCTGCTTCTTGAATAATTAACAGCACCTTCTTTCACTCTCAGAAGTATCCTGGTTTGATAATAAATTATGTGGTCCCATTCCTAACACAGCCTCTGCTTTTGGATCACAGTCTGCATCTAGCCTGTTTCAGGACATTGCTCGTTCTTCCTACTTGTCTGCCAGAGGTGCCATCGCAGGTGAGGTTTAGTTCTCCTTAGGGTTCTAAGGCAGTGGAGGTAAGACAGTAGCTTGGAAATCAGCTTTTCTGATTTAGGAAAGCAGTCTCTTTCCTAAGGTAATAGAGGATTTATTTCATGTAGGTTCCAGTGGTAGGTTAAAAAGGAATTTGTAAGGCCCGGTGTGGTGGCTCACACCTGTGATCCCAGCACTTTGATAGGCCGAGGTGGGCGGATCATGAGGGCAGGAGATGGAGACCATCCTGGCTAACACGGTGAAACCCCATCTCTACTAAAAATACAAAAAATTACCCGGGCGTGGTGGTGGGCGCCTGTAGTCCCAGCTACTGAGGCAGGAGAATGGCGTTAACCCGGGAGGCGGAGCTTGTAGTGAGCCGAGATCGCGCCACTGCACTCCAGCCTGGGCGACAGAGCGAGACTCTGTCTCAAAAAAAAAAAAAAATAGAATTTGTAAAGTGTTTCTAACTCATTTAGGCTGGAGGCTGCAATTTTTTTTGTGAAAAATAAGACCTTGGTGATGACCTTGAGCCATAGGATATAAATAACTCCCACAAGCTTAGCATTCCAGTAATGGAACACTAGCCGTAAATGGGTTAATGGTTTTTAGTCTGGCCAAGCACGGTGGATCACTTGAGATCAGGAGTTCCATACCAGCCTGACCAACATGGTGAAACCCCGTCTCTACTAAAAATACAAAATTAGCCAAGCGTGGTGGCACATGCCTGTAATCTTAGCTACTCGGGAGGCGGAGGCAGGAGAATCACTTGAACCCGGGAGGCGGAGGTTGCAGTGAGCCAAGATCATGCCATTGCACCTCAGCCTGGGCAACAAGAGCAAAACTCTGTCTCCAAAAAAAAAAAAGTTTTTAGTCTTTATCTTGGTAAACCAAGCCCCTAAAAACTCTAATTATTCCCTTGATACATTTTTACAATGGAAAAAATAAAATGATTGTAAATTTCAGATTTTTTTTTTTTTTTAAGGTTACACATATCTGCTTGTATATGTGTGACACAGTCCTGGGAAAATATAAAAGAAACTGTTAATGGATACCATCAGGTAGTAGAACTGAGATGGAGGTAGATGAGTTTTATGGTCTGTTTTATACTTTTTTGTATTTGAATTTTCATACCAGGTACGTGCATTACTTTTACAGTTTAAGAATAAAAATGTTGGCCGGGCACAGTGGCTCAGGCCTGTAATCCCAGCACTTTGGGAGGCTGGGGTGGGTGGATCACTTGAGGTCAGGAGTTCGAGACCAGCCTGGCCGACATAGCAAAACCCCATCTCTACTAAAAATATAAAAATTAGATGGGCGTGGCACCACATGCCTGTAGTCCCAGCTACTTGGGAGGCTGAGGCAGGACAATCGCTTGAACCCAGGAGGCAGAGGTTGCAGTGAGCCGAGATAGCACCACCACATTCCAGCCTGAGCGACAGAACGGGACTCTGTCTCAAAAAAAAAAAAGTCACATGAAATTTGAAAGATGAGAGTTTAGATAAACTGATAATGGGAGAAGTGAAGGCGAGGAGATAGATCGGAAGGGATAAAACAGTTCTTAAGGTTCTTCTACTTTTATACATTTGAGATCCTTTTATTTTTAATTTTTTTATATTAAAAAAAAATAGAGACAGGGTCTCACTGTGTTGCCCAGGCCAGCCTCCTGACCTCAAGTGATCCTCCTGCTTCAGCCTCCGAAAGTGTTGGGATTACAGGCATGAGACGCTGTGCCCAGCCAAGATCCTTTTAAATGAAAGCTGTGACTTGTGTAGTTAGCAGATTCGAATTTTCTTTCTTCTTTAAATTAGTGAAGATGAAGTGCCTGTGCTGTCTACCCTCTAACATGTAGTTGACTTTGAGTTGCATTGTGCTTTATTTTCCACTTTCATTTTATAATTTTTTTAAATGTAGAAATAGATGGTTTTCTTTCTCTAAATTTTGTGCCTGTTTCTTTATTTCACTTTATTTAGAGAAGAAAAATGTGATGTGACCCTCTTCCCTTGTAAAATGGAATCCCAGAATTGTGGGGTTACCTGTGTCAACAGGTCAGGTTGATTATCATACCATTTAGACTCTACTTGAGTGAACTCTAAAGTTCATTAAACTAAATCTCTTTACTGAGTCTAACGTAATGTTCTACTAATGGCGGAGTATTTGGTATTTATTATTTACTCACTCTAAAGAAATCTTCAGTAATTTATGCCTGGCCCATGCCATTGAATCAGTATATGACTAATAGGGTACTTTGGACCCTGCAGAGGAAAGATTTGTCACTTTCTTAAACTCTGGCCTTTATCAATACCTACTTCCTATTTTTGGCTTGCTTTCTTTCATTTCTTGATTGTAAAGTAGTTAATCTAAAGGGTAGCAAAGAAAAAAACCTTGGATACTAGTTCACTAAAATTATCTTCAGATTTGGGTACTAGTAATACATTTCTTTTCCTTTAAGAAACAATTTATTTTTATGACCAAAGCTGGCCAGGCACGGTGGCTCACACCTATAATACCAGCACTTTGGGAGGCCAAGACAGGTGGATTACTTGAGGTCAGGAGTTTGAAACCAGCCTGGCCAATATGGTGAGACCCTCTCTCTACTAAAAATACAAAAATTAGCTGGATGAGGTGACAGGCGCCTGTAATTCCAGCTACTTAGGAGGCTGAGGCAGAAGAATTGCTTGAACCTGGGAGGCAGAGGTTGCAGTGAGCTGAGATTGTACCACTGTACTCCCACGTGGGCCACAGAGCGAGACCCCATCTCAAAAATAAATTAAAAAGCCCAGTGCGGTGACTCACGCCTGTAATCCTGGCACTTTGGGAGGCTGAGGCGGGCGGATCACGAGGTCAGGAGATCAAGACCATCCTAGCTAAGACGGTGAACCCTCTCTCTACTAAAAATACAAAAACATTAGCCGGGCATGGTGGCCGGGCACCTGTAGTCCCAGCTACTCAGGAGGCTGAGGCAGGAGAATGGCGTGAACCGGGAGGCGGAGCTTGCAGTGAGCCGAGATCGTGCCACTGCACTCCAGCCTGAGCGACAGAGGGAGACTCTGTCTCAAAACAAAAACAAAAAATAAATAAATGATCAAAACCTAAATGTAATATGACTTCATGAGAAAGTGTAACTGTCATGACTTTGAATAGGAGCCCATTTGAAATGTTTCCTGCCAGATATACAACTTCAGATTGTTGGCAATTTTTAGTTTTGTAGTTACGGAATTTTTACCCTATAGATTGAGGACCCTGTTAAATATTGTATAACCTCTAGGAATAAGCCTTTTCATTGACTCCATGTGCTAAACAGATCTTTTGTCAGCGACTCGTAAAATAACAAAACAGACTCGGGCAGTAGAGTACCAATGTCTTTGCCTCTTAGGTATGTGAAATATGGCTCAGGCCCAGCTCGGTTCCCGCTCCCGGACATGCTGAAATATGTTATTGAATTTGCTAGTACAAAACCTGCCTCAGAAAGCTGTCCACCTGAAAGTGACACACACATGACATTACCACTTTCTTCAGTGCACTGCCCAGTTTCTGACCAGACATCCGAGGAAAGGTAATGAAAACAATTTTTTTAAATGGTATGTATTGTTTTTTCTGGTATAATTTAAACTATGCACCATCTTTATACCTGATTCACACTTACCTATAAGAGCACAGGAGCTGTGAGCTCTTTGTCTTAAAGGGAAGGATTTTGCTGCCTGTCACTTGGGTGGGAGTGGGCCCACCAGTGCATTTGTCTTATCCATAGGACGGTTGGGTTATTTCAGAGGCTTCTCGAACTGTTCAGGATAGTGTTCAGGCTCCACTCAGTGATGCTTTGTTTTAAACTACAAGCTAGCTGCCATTAAAGGCCTTTCTCAAAGAAAACTTCAAGCCCTGCTCTTCCAAAACATCTCATGCTCCCACACTTGAAATATGCATGACTAAGAAACATCAAGGAAACGGAGGCTTATTCCTGAACAGAAAATTAATACTTGAAAAAGAACTGGATAGAAATAAGAGGACAGCCTAGAGGGGCTTCTCTAGTAAAGACAGAGGGAGGCAAAGTCACAGGAGCCCTCTGATTTGATTCCATCCAGCCATGCGCAACAATCTTTATTGCCTCGAGGAGCTATGAAACGTAGCTGGGACATTTGATATGTGTTGCCTGACTAATAAAAACACTAATACTCAATAAAAAGTTAGACTTTTTTGTCAAAAAATCTTGACTATTCTCCCCAACAATCCTCCCCTCCCCCATGTATTAATATTTATTCATCCCTGTATGCATAGAAATGCTTATTTGGATAGAACATACCAAATGTCAAGAATGATTATCTCTAAGGAGTGACATGAGTCTGGGGATAGGAGTGGGGCTGCACTTTCACTTTTCACTTTTTAAAAAAATAGAATCTTTTTATGTACATTATGAAATGTAAATAGTTTTAATTTAAAAAGTGGTTTGGCAGGCTTTTTAATCAACTAAAATAATAGTGCTTGGTATTAGATTTAAAAATTACAGGGAGGTGTATGTGTGTAATCTCCTCTGAAACTGAGATATCTATTCTCTTGTTGGGCGTATTTTTCCATAAATATGGACCTTAGGAAAAAGAGATTTCCTCCATTATTTTGTGCATGTGAGAGAGTGAGGAGGAAGTGAGGGTTTTTTGTTTTTGTTTTTTTGAGATGGAGTCTCACTCCGTCGCCAGGCTGGAGTGCAGTGGCGTGATCTCAGCTCACTGCAACCTCTGCCTTCTAGGTTCAAGCGATTCTCCTGCCTCAGCCTCCTGAGTAGCTGGGACTACAGGTGTGCTGATTTTTGTATTTTTAGTAGAAACGGGATTTCACCATGTTGGCCAGGATGGTCTTGATCTCTTGACCTCGTGATCCAGCCGCCTCAGCCTCCCAAAGTGCTGGGATTACAGGCGTGAGCCACCGCGCCCGGCAGGAGTGAGAGTTTTTTTTAAAGTAAAAAAAATAAAGGAAGTTTATATTCTTGAGCTTCGGTGTAAAAGAGAAACCTAACTACAGTTAGAAACTTACTTTATATTCCTGCTGGTGTGTCGACCTGCAGTTTTACTCTGACAATAGGTTAATAGAGAAATTAGCATTTACTTTGTATGCTTTATTCTCTGTTAGTTTACAGTAAAGAGGTAAAGAATTTAACATTTATATTTTGTAGTTGAGATATTATTTACCTGAGGCTAAATACTTTTTTCCTTGGATATTTAGCTAAAGTAGTAGAGCTAGGATTGTTTGACTTGAAGCCCTTCTCTCAGAACTCCCCAAGATGTCACCTAGTGTGTATTCCTGTGAGTTGTATATTCAGCTGATGCTTCCTTTTTCTTGCTTCTGTGTATTTTGTTCCTGGATGGATAGTGTCACTTTAGTTGCCTTCATCTTGTAAACTCTGTAGTTGATTCTTTGATTCTTGCAGGCCTAGTCTTCTGTTTTCCATTTTCCTTCTCTTCCCATCCTCATGAGAAGGAATAATCAGTGGTCAGAGAACATGAACTAAAGACTCTGGCCGATCTGGCTTTGGATTCCTTTTCATTACCTTGTACCTTGGTGAACTTGGGCATGTTGGTTAATTTCTTTAAACCTTAGGCTTGCAGTTGGTAAAATAGAGATAGCATAGTATCTGCCGCACAGGCCAGTTGTGGTACATGAGATGATGTATTTAGAGAAAAAGCTTGGCTCCGTACCTTTATAGAGTTAATGCTCACTGAATACCTGTACTTTTTCATATAGCATCTTGCTTTCCAAAGTACATAATTTAGGCTGAGGTGTCTTTTGGAAATTATCATCTGAGCATGATTTTTGTCTTCCTCAGTACAAGTACAGAAAGCTCTTCTCTGGATGTGGAAAGTACCTTTTCTTCTCCTGAAGATTCTCTACACAAGTCTAAACCACTGACATCTTCTCGGTCTTCCATGGAAATGCCTGCACAGCCAGCTCCACGAACAGTCACAGACGAGGAGATAAACTTTGTTAAGACCTGTCTTCAGAGGTGGAGGAGTGAGATTGAACAAGATATACAAGGTTGGCTCTTTTAAAACTTGTCAGTTACTCTTTGCCTTTTCTGTTTTTTGACTGTTTGGAGGTTAAGCACCTTGGTGCACTTCCTGACATTACTGTACATGCTACAGAATTCCCCCCCACCCCGCCTCAGATGGAGTCTCGCTCTGTCACCCAGGCTGGAGTGCAGTGGTGCAGTCTCAGCTCTCTGCAACCTCCGCCTCCCGGGTTCAGGCGATTTTCATGCCTCAGCCTCCCAAGTAGCTGGGATTATAGGCATGTACCACCACACCTGGCTGTTTTTTTTTTTTTTCTTTAGTAGAGACGGGGTTGCACCATGTTGGTCAGGCTGGTCTTAAACTACTGACCTAAACTGATCTGCCCGCCTTGGCCTCCCAAATTGCTGGGACTACAGGTGTGAGCTACCACGCCTGGCCCAAGCTTTTGAATTTTGACATGGTAATTGTGACTTCTTTTGCACTTCTAGTGCCCTGTAAGCTTGGCTCACACACCCCTATTATACAGATGTGGAAGGATCTCCCCCTCAAAATTTCTGGGAAATGATCACCTTTGCTGAGATTTTTCTGCATCTGCTGATTTCTGTCTCTGTGGTAGTTTATCTGAACTCTAGCTTAAGTTGACCCAGATTTAGCATTTAACTTTTCTGGACTTCTACTCTTCAGTCTTTTCTATATGAAGCATGCTTTTACTGAAGGTTAATGAGGCAGAGTGTTTGAGCAGTACGCACAATGTAAAATTGGATTATTCAGCATTGTATTCTTAAAAAGCCCTTTGACCTCATTGCCCATATTGCTCAGACTAGCCCCCTTCCTTTCTCCTTTTGTCTAGGGAACAAAAAGATGATGGAAATTCCAGATTCTTCCCAGATTCCTATTCAGAGAAATTTAGCCTTACCCTTTGTTCTGCTTTCTCATTTCAGATCCTGTCTGAGACATACATTTTACAGCCAAGTGACCCATTAAAATCTTTTCCTAAACAGCTTACTCTTTTAGAAATTGTGGTGCCAATTATAAAAAATAATTTTTCAAAACCTTAATATAATTACATTGAACTAAAAGCCTTCATAACCTAAAGTTCGGTTTAAAGTTAGCTGCTTTAAAACTGTGTACTGCTTCGTGGTTCCTAGAGGGAAGCTGAAATCATTAGGACCCTAGCAATATTCTTTGCTTAGTTGAAGTAGCCTGTGTGACATAGAATGAGATAATTTTAATGAAGCTTTTTTCTTTTTCCAAACAGATTTAAAGAATTGTATTGCAAGTACTACTCAGACTATTGAACAGATGTACTGCGATCCTCTCCTTCGTCAGGTAGAATGAAAATTGATGGGAAGTAGTCAAGGCATGTGCTAATGGTAGATACAAAAATAAAATTTGATAGTTTTCTTTTAAACCCAATGGGAATTCCCCTAAGATGTAAGAATAAACTTAAGGTAGAAATTGATGTTGTTCTGTTTCTTTATTTTAGGCTAAAGAAAGCAATATACCTTTTATCAACAACAGGACCTAACACATACTTGTTTGAATTCTGCCACGTGGAATTTTTTCATATTTTAGAAAGGTTTGCTGTCAGATACTAATAAAAATTACTCACATAATGGTACTTTAAGTAGTGCAGTGGGAAAAACTGAACTAGAGAACAGTTATCCTTTCTTTACGAAAGTTCCATGATTCTTCAAGATCTTTCATTTAACAACATGCTTTCAAGCTTTGTTTCTATAATAATAAATTCCAAAAGAGAGGACAGAACTTCTTACTATCCACAGAAATTTTTGTTAGAATAAATTCTGGGAATGGAGGGGAAGAGAGCCTCCAGGAGTGTCTCTGAACCTATTCTAGTTAGGGGCATGGACTTTCAGTGTCTTCTGTGTGAATGAATGGAATGGGCAGAATGACTGTAGGAGGAGAGCCCTGTTTCTAGAATGGCATTGAGGCACAGTCCCATTGCTTAACAGGAATGCACCGTGTAAAACTCAGGTTTCCCCAGTTTTTCTTTTGTGTTAATTCAAAAATCTTCACCAGTAATTAAAATAGGTCAAAGTAAGTGTAAATTTAATTTGATTCTGTGACGACTTTCATCTCTTTTACCAGTATTTAATTAGCATTTAAGCATTGTTTTATTTTCTCCATATTGAAAATATACAAATGTGCTTTTCAAATTTTGTAACAAATAAGTATGTCATTAAAAGGGTCTTCACTCCAGATAGATCAGTGATCACTTAACTCTGAGAAGCATGTGGCTGAGTTAAATATGTTAGCTTAAATTTTGGTGCCAAATAAAATAGGTGTGGAACAAAATAGCTGCTAACCTTTTTAGGTCCCAAATATGCTAAGCATTTTCAGTGTGAGTGGTCAAGGTGATTCTATTTTTAGATAAACAGGGTTTTGAATTAGAAGGGTGCATATGTTTAGGTTATATTTGGTTTTAGATCTGAGGAGTTTAGAGTTGAAAGAGTCTTCAGAGAGGCCATGTAGTTCAATGATCTGGTTTTCAAGATTTGGGAACTGAGACATAATTGATCAATTCCAAGGCTGTGTTTTTGTTGACTTCATCTTGAATCCACAAGATGTTTTAATATGAACCCCACATTAATCACATCATAAATAGTTATTTTTAATAACCTAAACTTTATCAGATTACTTTGCTTCACCTGACTGGAGAATGTACATTCTGACTTACAGGTGCCTTATCGCTTGCATGCAGTTCTTGTTCATGAAGGACAAGCAAATGCTGGACACTATTGGGCCTATATCTATAATCAGCCCCGACAGAGCTGGCTCAAGTACAATGACATCTCTGTTACTGAATCTTCCTGGGAAGAAGTTGAAAGAGATTCCTATGGGGGCCTGAGAAATGTTAGTGCTTACTGTCTGATGTACATTAATGACAAACTACCCTACTTCAATGCAGGTAAAAATATCTTGGCAGAATCTATAGATTGGGGAAAATCTGTACTGCTCAGGGAGAAGAACAGTCTTGTACTGCTTTTTAAAAAATTTACAACTTACTATTATATAATAATACATTTTAAAAATATAGACAGTATAAAAGGGAATGAAAAGGAAAAACAAGTTTGCTTTACTACTTCTTTCCTTGACCGCAAGTCCCACTCCCCAGCAAGTATACAATGTTAGGTTTCTTATATAGTCTTCAAGACACATTGTATACATATGCTAGATTCTATTTATCTGTGTCTGCCCCTCCCTCCTTTCCCCAAAGGGATTATTTTTCCATTCAACTCTGAACGCTTTTCATTAATTGAGTATTTAGCAATCTCTATATTTTTAGAAAAAGGATCTACTCATTCTGTTTAACAACTATATAATAATTCATTGTGTGGAATATACATATTTTTAAAATTTACTCAACTTTCCTCCGGTAGATAGACTTTAATTCTCTAGTTGTTGTTGTGTTTTTAGTGAAATATTTTTTTTTCTTGCCCCATCTTATGGTGCTGATAGTACATATATTTTTGCACCCTTTGGAGAATAACTAAATTTTTTATTTCTTTTTTTGAGACAGAGTCTTGCTCTATTGCCCAGGCTGGAGTACAGTGGCACAGTCTCGGCTCACTGCAGCCTCTGCCTGCCGGGTTCAAGTGGTTCTCCTGCCTCAGTCTCACAAGTAGCTGGAATTACAGGTGCCCACCACCACGCCCAGCTAATTTTTGTATTTTTAGTAGAAACGGGATTTCACCAGCTTGGCCAGGCTGGTCTTGAACTCCTGACCTCAGGTGATCCACCCGCTTCAGCCTCTCAAAGTGCTGGGGTTAGAGTTGTGGGCCACTGAGCCTGGCCCAGAGTAACTAAATTTTACAGGTTTTACAGGTATATTTGCCTGAATAGTTTAACAATTTTTATAGTACTACTGCTCATGCAAAGAGCAATAATAATTATCATTTATATTGGTACTTTACTCCTTAAAGCATGCTTTCAAACTTTTATTTCTCTAAGAACTTACAACTGTAAAAAGGAGGGAAGGAGTTAGAAAATGTTGTCATCTTCATTTTCCAGCTGGATTACAGGTTCCAAGAGGTTCTAAAGTTGACTAATCACATAGTTAGTAAATAAATGGCAGTCCCAAGATTCAAATACAATTCTCCAAATTCTGTGGTGTTTTCAATTTACATTATTCTTTCTTTCACATCCTCTATGAGAGGTCTTACGATGAACATTTTACAAGTGAGATAATAGAAAGCTTTTGTTTTTAGTATTCAGACTTTACTGCGTTGCGTAAGTAAGGAAACATCGCCCCGGCATGGTGACTCACGCCATTACTTTTACAGGTTAAGAATAAAAGTGTTGGCCGGGCATAGTGGCTCACGCCTGTAATTCCAGCCCTTTGGGAGGCTGAGGCAGGCGGATCCCTTGAGGCCAGGAGTTGAAGACCAACCTGGCCAACATGGTAAAACCCTGTGTCTACTAAAAATACAAAAATTAGCCGGGCATGGTCGTGTACACCTGTAATTCCAGCTACCAGGGAGGCTGAGGCAGGAGAATCCCTTGAACCTGGGAGGCAAAGGTTGCAGTGAGCTGAGATCATGCCACTGCACCCAGCCTGGGCAACAGAGTGAGACTTTGTCTCAAAAAAATAAACACGTAAGATGTTCTGTCCAGGTAGCACATTATCTTTCTGATTTGCTAGTGTGGTTGAAGATTAGGGAATGGAGAGAATGATCATTGAACAGTAAGTGATTGTCAAAATTGTGTATTTATTCTGTGAAGGAATGAATAGCTGCTTGAATATACTAGCTGTTGGTGTATAGGAGCCTTGTTATTGCATGCGTGGTTTATTTTTATGTTATAGAAACAAACAAGTGGAAACTATCGTTTGCTTAGTGAAAAGACTGACTAAGGCAACCGGTATGTGAAGGTGTTAATCTGCTATAGGCTTTTTTTAAATTATTACTGTTTTGGTCACAGGTTTAGAAAGTGAAATTTAATATGTCGTCGATATCCTTGCCATTAAAGCCAGGTATTATTGGCCATTTCACCATTGTATCAAATTGCTTTCTCATAGTACTTAATTGTGTGAAAGTTAATGGTTTAAATGTCTTGAAATTCATCTCTAACCTTTTTGAAATGGACATTCTTATCAACCAAATGCAGTAGTTAAATTGATAAAACTATTTAGCTTGAAATTTGTATTGGCTCTAATGATTTTCTGAATTTCCCTGAAATGATTGGTATATCCAGTGATTGACAGTGACCAGTTTCCAAATCTTTTTTTTTTTTGAGATGGAGTCTCACTGTCTCTCCCAGGCTGGAGTGCAGTGGTGCAACCTCAGCTTACTGCAACCTCTGCCTCCCAGGTTCAAGCGATTCTCCCACGTCAGTCTCCTGAGTACCTGGAATTATAGGCATGTGCCACCATGCTTGGCTAATTTTTGTATTTTTTTTAGTAGCAACAGGGTTTCACCATGTTGGCCAGGCTGATCTTGAACTCCTACCTCAAGTGATCTGCCTGCCTTGACCTCTCAAAGTTCTGGGATTACAGGCATGAGCCACTGCACCTGGCCCACTTTCCATATCTTTAATTCTGTATTATTCATTCACTTAGCAGATGTTTAATGAGTGCCTACTAAATGTCAGGCACTGTTATCGATTGTTGTCCTTACTTTGTCCATACAGGTTGAGCATGCCACATGTGAATATCCAAAATCCCAAATGCTCCAAAATCCTCAAAACTTTATAAGCCTTTTTCATTACATGATGCTGAAAGGGAATGCTCATTGGAGCATTTTGAATTTCAGACGTTGAATTTTTGGATTTGAGGTGCTCAGCTGTAACTAATGGTGCAGATTTTCTAAAATCTGAAAAAAACTTTGAAATCCAAAACACTTCTAGTCCCAAGCATTTTGGATAAGAGTTACTCAGTCTGCATTTCTGATGGATTATATGTGTATGTGTTTTTAGTTAGGAGTAAGATAAAGAGGAAATACACTGCTTTCTTCTTTTCTAAAAAGGATATTTTGGTTCCTTGTGATCTTTGTTTCCTTGTGATCTTTTAATTTTATCTTTGCTTTTCCTCAGAGGCAGCCCCTAATGAATCAGATCAAATGTCAGAAGTAGAAGCCCTATCTGTGGAACTCAAGCATTACATTCAGGAGGATAACTGGCGGTTTGAGCAGGAAGTAGAGGAGTGGGAAGAAGAGCAGTCTTGCAAAATCCCTCAAATGGAGTCCTCCACCAACTCCTCATCACAGGACTTCTCTACATCGCAAGGTATCTGAGAAGGCATTTATGCCAGTGATCCAGTAACGTCTCATGCTGTACTCCCCTAGCCAGCCCTGTACCCTTCAACTGGCTAGGTGATGCCACAGCCTTCACAGTATATTTCATATACAGTTGGTATGCCAGGTACAACCTGATAGAATGAATTGTGGCATTAAAATGTGATTTCTGATGAACAGAAGCAGTATCAGAAAGACTACCTGTGACCTTCACTGTGTATATAGTTTTGCTTGTTTCCCAGGTTATGGGAGAAACTATGATAGGATTAATAGGTAGACTTTATGAAAACCATTCTCCAAAGGTGATCTTCCTGAAAGATGCTTGTTTGTAGAAAGTTTTCTTAATGTATACAAATATGACAAAGTTGGGAGTGCATTAAATTTTACAGACTTATCTGTGGGTTCAAAATTTGCAGACTTTATCAGAGTTCTTGCTGAAGTAGCCATTTCTTATAGTTATTAATTTCTAGGGAAAATCTGCATAGGCTTTGTAAAAAGCTATGTTAACAGGGTTGTATATTAAACTGTATCCATTCTGCTTGCTTTTTATCTGAGCGTTCTAGACTATTTATTGTCAGATGCTAAGACCTTTGTACAATTCTTTATCAGAGCCTTCAGTAGCCTCTTCTCATGGGGTTCGCTGCTTGTCATCTGAGCATGCTGTGATTGTAAAGGAGCAAACTGCCCAGGCTATTGCAAACACAGCCCGTGCCTATGAGAAGAGCGGTGTAGAAGCGGCACTGAGTGAGGTGAGAATGACTGGGAAGTCCAAGTTCAGGAGGGCCGGGCTTTCAGCAGCAAGGGCCAGTTTCCTCACATTTCTATTATTCTGTGTCTCTGCTGCATTTAACCAACCCCTTTTTATTTCTCCTGTTTTTTCTTACTCTTTCTCCCAACTCTGCTGCCACAGCTTAAAGAAGCTGAACCCAAGAAGCCCATGCCCCAGGAAACAAACCTTGCAGAGCAGTCAGAACAGCCCCCAAAGGCTAATGATGCAGAGTCTACTGCCCAGCCTAATTCTGAGGTCTCTGAAGTCGAGATTCCCAGTGTGGGAAGGATTCTGGTTAGATCTGATGCAGATGGATATGATGAGGAGGTACAGAGATGAGTGCAGGATTTAGCTGTTCGTTGTCAGTCTTATATTTCCTTCTCTTGTGACTGTTTTAAGGTATCTGCCAATAGCTGATATTTTCTCATTGCAACAAATGATTGTCAAGAAAGGCTATTTGGTTTTAACCTTAGTTACCATTATTTAAAAGATAGCTGTGTTTCTATTGTATAGCGCTCCTAGCATATGTGTATCTACCCAGGCTTATACTTAATGGGGCCACTGCAGAGTCTAGATTGCTCAGAAAAGTAAAATTTACTTCTATTTTTGGTATTATGGATGAAAGATTGCCTCTAATTTAAAGTAGGGAATCGTTTTTTTCTGGATATTAGTCCATTATTTTACTTCCAGATATAAATTTTTCAGTTGTCCAGTGAGCTGAACAAATGTGGGTTACAGTTATTTTTAATTCTAAAGCTTTAGGAAGAAGCTATAGAACCCCAAGTTATTTGTTGTCTGTCTCCTCTTCAATTGCACTGCACGTAAACAGTAATGAATTCTGTCTCTCTCAGATTTCTATTTTTTTCCTGTGGGGTATTTAAAAAAAAATCATTGACAAGGCCGGGCATGGAGGCACACGCCTGTGATCCCAGCCCTTTGGGAGGCCAAAGTGGGTGGATCACTTGAGGTCAGGAGTTCAAGACCAGCCCGGCCAACATGGTGAAACCTGTCTGCTAAAAATACAAAAATTAGCTGGGTGTGGTGGTGTGCACCTGTAATCCCAGCTACTTGAATCCGGGAGGCGCAGGTTTCAGTGAGCTGAGATCGCACCATTGCATTCCAGCCTGGGTGACAGAGCGAGAGTCTGTCACCCCATCCCCGCAAAAAAAAATCCTTGAAAAGTTTTCACTTTATGGAGTCATATTTTTATAGTCCCTAGTTTCCAGACTCTTTTAAATGTATTGTTCATCCTAGTAAAACTAAAGTATTTGTGTGTGTAAGATATACACCCAAAGTACAGAACTAAATTGGAATTCTGACCTTAGACACTTCCCCTCTGAGAACTATAATTTAACTTAATTCTTCAGCAGTGCCATATTGGGAGATATTTTTTAGGCGTACATCTTTCTTCATCCTACTAAATTAGAACATATAGTGTAGGAATAGCTTGTCTTGGGCAGGGTGTTGACATTATATAGAAGGACAGAGGTGGTGGGTGCACATAGGAATGGGTGTGTGAAACTCAGCTTGCAATACATGTTAGCCAAAGAGCACACTGCTCTACTGCCCTTTAGCACTCTGTTCAGCCTGCTTTCATACAGTCTTCTGCTGAACCTTTCTTCTCTCCTTTCTCTCTGTGTTTTGTGCCCCCTTGTGGTAGGTGATGCTGAGCCCTGCCATGCAAGGGGTCATCCTGGCCATAGCTAAAGCCCGTCAGACCTTTGACCGAGATGGGTCTGAAGCAGGGCTGATTAAGGTATCAGTGTTTTTAAAATTCTAATTCTTACAACACAGGCATCATAATATTGGGGAAATAATTCTATAAGAAGGGAAAAAATGGGATTAAGGCTGGGTGTGGTGGTGTGTGCATGTAGTCCCAGCTACTCAGGAAGCTGAAGTAGAGGCTCACTTGAGCCCAGGAGTTGGAGGCTGAAATGTACTGTGATTGCACCACTGCACTCCAGCCTGGGCAGCATAACAAGATCCTATCTCTTAAAAAATAAAAAAAATTTTAAAAAAAGGACTGGGCACAGTGGCTCACACCTGTAATTAAGCACTTTGGGAGGCCCAGGAGGAGGCTTGCTTGAAGCCAGGAGTTCAAAACCAGCCTGGTCAACATAGTGAGACCCCCCCATCTCTACTAAGGATTTTTTTTTTTTAATTAGCTGGGCATGGTAGCACATGCCTGTAGTCCCAGCTAATTTGGAGGCTGAGGCAGGAGGATCACTTAAGCCCAGGTGTTCAAGGCTGCAGTGAACCATGATTGTGCCACTACATTCTAGTCTGGGTGACAGAGTGGGACCCTGTCTCCAAAAAATAAAAAAAAGTCTTCCGTGAAGTGAGATATGAAACTCCCTTTCGTGTCCAACTGATGAACAAGCTGTTCGCTTCTCTTCTCTTGACCCTCACCCAGCCTTGGCTAGCGGTAGCATTCTCTGTGGCACCTAGCCTAGAGGGCTTTTCATTGTTGTTGTTAGGAGTTGTCTGCTAGTAACACTGAGTTAGATTGTGCCTTTGTAATTTTGAGGCCGTAACAAAGCAGGCCATGTTTTTAAACATACTTGAGTAAAATTGCATTTGTATAGATGCTTAAAGTTTAAGTCATTGACACGTAAGGATCTTCCTTTTATAAAAATTAAAACTATTTGTTTTTCTGAGAACTTCATGAGAAAACTGAATTTCTTAAGAGACAGCAGGCTGGGCGCAGTGGCTCATGCCTGTAATGCCAGCACTTTGGGAGGCCAAGGTGGGTGGATTGCTTGAGCTCAGGAGTTCGAGACCAGCCTGGGCAACATGGTGAAACCCCATCTCTATAAAAAATACAAAAATTAACTGTGCGTGGTGATATATGCCTGTAGTCCCAGCTACTTGGGAGGCTGAGGTGGGAGGATCACCTGAGCCCAGGAGTTCAGGGCTGCAGTGAGCTGTGATCATGGCTCTGCACTCCAGCCTGGGTGACAAAGTGAGACCCTGTCTCACATACCAAAAAAAAAAAAAAAAAAATACAGTATGCCAGAATGCTAACAGAGTTTCATCCCTTATGAAATGCAAGAAACTTAAATATTCCATAGTTGCTTTATTTAGAGTTAAGAGACTGCCTAGCTCCTAAGGCATCAATTTCTGAGTGCAGAAGCCCACAGCACACTATTTTCTAACTATTGATTCTGCCCTTAATAGGCATTCCATGAAGAATACTCCAGGCTTTATCAGCTTGCCAAAGAGACCCCCACCTCTCACAGTGATCCTCGACTTCAACATGTCCTTGTCTACTTTTTCCAAAATGAAGCACCTAAAAGGGTAGTAGAACGAACCCTACTGGAACAGTTTGCAGATAAAAATCTTAGCTATGATGAAAGGTGAGAAGAGAATATTCAGGTGAATTCCTCCTTGGTCTGGGTCAGGCTAGACCGACTCCTCTGTTGGGGAAGTTTTGCCCTGTGCCCTTTCATTGCTTTCTGAACTTTGTCCCACACAGATCAATCAGCATTATGAAGGTGGCTCAAGCGAAACTGAAGGAAATTGGTCCAGATGACATGAATATGGAAGAGTACAAGGTAAAGTCTTTTCTTTTAAGTCTATAGAGCAAAAGCATTAATTCCTGAGGTAAATGGTACCTAAGGCAAAATGAACGATTTTGTGCTATCACAAACTGACTTGTTCTCCCACTTTCCCCCAAAAATTGTAGTAAAGAATGGATAAATGATATTTTCTTGCCCTCAGAATAGTAGGTCTCTTTATTTTCATTCTTCAGTTAGAGTGAATCAGCACTTCCCTTAAATACCTATTTTAGCCTTGTCCTAGGCAGTAAAATTCTTGAAATCATGCTTTTGGTTTGTTTTAAATGATACATTTTTTAAAATATGCATTGAAATACATAGCTACACCTTTTCAATTGCATCCTATGTAAAACAATGTTATGTACCACCCAAGGTGTATTCACCACACTTACTCAACTTGAACATTGCTCTGTATGACTAGAAATGTCCGTGTCCTTCCATATTTTCAGTATCTGGATGGTTTTACCAGTCCTAAAGAGGTCATTCACTTAAGTTAGAGCTGAATATCTTTGGCATAGCTGTTAGGATAAAATCCAAAGCTCGTAGGAAATAAATACTTCTGTTACTCAAGTGAAAGGAACAGAACATTGAAAATTAAGGTCAATGGTAGACTTTTATATTAAATGTTGAGTAGGTTTTTATCTGAAAGCTTTTGTTTGTTATTTTTGTGGTTAGCCAGATGTGCTCAATAAATATTTGTAATGAATTTAAAACTTAGATGGAAAGGACACTAACAATTTATTATGATCATAATTATTAATAGTAGTCATTCTTTTTCAGAAGTGGCATGAAGATTATAGTTTGTTCCGAAAAGTGTCTGTGTATCTACTAACAGGCCTAGAACTCTATCAAAAAGGAAAGTATGTTGGCCTTTTATTTTACCAAGGTTATTAGTCAGGATGCTGTTCTCTATAGATGCCTACCTGGGAATACTAAAGAGTCACAGCCAGGCATAACCTCCCTTGTCACATACACTAGTGTGCCTCTTCTCTTCCAGTGCTTCAGTTTTGCTCTAAACATCACACATGGTTTTTCATCCTTCACATAATGAGATGTATTAGCTGAGAGAGATGTTGTGCCAGACTGTCTTTGTGATCAATGAAGATGAACTCAGAAAATGAATTTTTGAGTTGACATGGACCCTAGTGAGCACTCCTTGTTTTAGAGATGGGAAAAACTGAGGCCTAGGGAAGTTTCATGATTTGCTTTGGATGGCTAGGCCAATTTGTAGAAGAGCTGAGACTGGCTACAGTCTTTGGCCCTTCACTTTCTCATAATTGCAGCCAAGTAGATTCTTGAAATGGGGAAAAGTAAGGTCTAAGCCCTAGATTTTGGTAAAAGAGCACTCAGCTATTGTTTTTCTCCCATTTTTCTAAGGTACCAAGAGGCACTTTCCTACCTGGTGTATGCCTACCAGAGCAATGCCGCCCTGCTGATGAAGGGGCCCCGCCGGGGGGTCAAGGAATCCGTGATTGCTCTATACCGAAGAAAATGCCTTCTGGTTTGTACTATTTGTAAAGCCTTAAAGTTTTTTTGTTGTTTACCTCTGCTCCTTGAAGCCAGGAAAAGATATGGCTTTCAAAACAGAGTATCTTCAGCAGGTTGTAGATTCCTCCCCGCCCCCTGCCCAAATTCCATGAACAGTTTTACATTGGAACAGGTTTCTTTTTCAGTTACTTTTAGTGAGTGTCATTCTTCAATGATAACTGATAGACGTTAAGGTGAGAATTAGTCATCCCTCTGTGTGCCCTTCATGTATGCCTGCATTATAGATTTTATCACATTGCTTTCCTACTAGGTTCTAAATTACTTGAGCACAGATCCTTTTCTCACTCAGCCATTTCCTCTGTGCCTGTCATGTAGGAAGCATGTAATAAATGTGTGTGGAAGGAATGCAGCATTTTTTCCATGTTCACGTTTAAGTTGGTAGGTGAAAGTTTTAGTGACTTCTAAGACACTCCATTTTTTAAAAATAAAGGTAGGAACTGTAAGAATTGGTCCTGCTGTTTTGATAACATCATTGTCATATACTAGTGAAGACTAACTCTCTCCTGGCCTGATTTGCACTGTAAAACTACATGGAAAGGCAGACCTACATCCCCGTGCCTCCCCAGGGGTTTATGTGATGCGTGTCGTTCAGAGAACTGTAAAGCGGTGGCCTGCCTTCAGACTGTGGGCTTGTGTGTGTTTTCACCAGTACCCAGCAAATTTGCCCTTCACAGAAGTCAGGGCAATGTTTCTACCACTGCCTTGACCTTGTTCATACTGGATGGGTGAGATTAAGTCATGACATACACTCAATAGCTTTATTTTCTGATTTATACTTTGACATCTGTATTAGTTATAGGTGTGGCAGGGCCACTTTGAAACTGAAAAGGGATCTTGTTGATTTGATGGATCTGAATATTATTAGAGCCATGTTTTTATATTTTAAGTCACCAAATAGATTGACATTTTGAATATCCTACTCAGCTTCTGAAGTAATGCAGCAATAGGAATTTAGACTCTTTCCATTATCCCAACCCCTAGTGTGCATCAGAATCATATAGGGAGCTTGCAGACAGTTGTGAAGCTCAGGCCTCTCCCTAGACAGTTAAACCAGAATCCCTGAGAAAGACCCTGGGCAGCAGGGTGTCTTCTGCAGGTGATTCTGATGCTCAGAGGAGATGGAGAACCAGTGAACGGGTCTTTGGTTGAAACAGGTGTTAAGCATGACCTTGACTTACAAGTTTAGGCCAGTGGGTCATAAACTTTGCTACACTAGAATCACTTTGGGAGCTTTCATAAAATCCCAATGTCCCGGTCATCTGAACACTAATTAAGTCAGCATATCAGGAGTGGGAACCAGGCATCAGTAGTTTTTAAAGATCCCTAAGTACATCCAATGTGCAGTAAAGTTTGGGAACCCCTTGTTTAGGCTGTTACTAAAGAGATATTTATCTTTTTCAGACTTTTTCCCACCTAATTCTACCTTTTATCTGTAGGAGCTGAATGCCAAAGCAGCTTCTCTCTTTGAAACAAATGATGATCACTCTGTAACTGAGGGCATTAATGTGATGAATGAACTGATCATCCCCTGCATTCACCTTATCATTAATAATGACATTTCCAAGGATGACCTGGATGCCATTGAGGTCATGAGAAACCATTGGTGCTCTTACCTTGGGCAAGATATTGCAGGTATATGCTCTTGCTAATAGTATTGTAAGGTTTTGAGAATTCTAGAAATTGCAGTGTTCTCACTTGATAGCACTGGTTGCCAAACCTTTTTAAGGAATTGGAACCTTCTAGCATATAAGTAAATTAAAAATGGTTCTGCTCTATTGAAACAAGAGGAGGGAACCTGGGCCTCTGCCCCTCTTAACCTCCCTTTTTTTTTTTTTTTTTTTTGAGATGGAGTCTGGAGCCGGGCGAGGTGGCGGGCACCTGTAGTCCCAGCTACTCGGGAGGCTGAGGCAGGAGAATGGCGTAAACCCAGGAGGCGGAGCTTGCAGTGAGC